AAACAAACAAATATCCTCTATGTATTAGTGTTGCGTGAATTATACAGCCTGAAGTGTGCAGATCGAAGAGTATTGTAATAATAGAATGTGTTGTAAAAAGGAAATACTAGAATATAGACTGGCTCATTGACACGTTATTTATTAGGTAAATAAAAATAATATAAAACAAAAAATAAATATGATATTCAAATATGGCACTTGTTGTACATCAGGAAAATTATTTTTATTGGAGAACCTAAAAAAGAGTAATTTTACTTAAACAAAAAATAGATAAACAAAAGCAAGACTATTTTTTTCTTTATTGCTGAATAGGCGAATGCATGTCTACTGACCGCATCGTGCCACATGCACGAGGCAGCTGGAAGATAAATAAATGTTGAGCTGTTCTACTTATATCTGTAGTTTCAATCCGTGAACATTCAGAAAAAAATAATAATAAAACATAACAAATAGTAGAACAGATAGAAAAGTTCATGCAACAATCAAAATCAATAATATGAAACAAATTTAATAAAATATTATGGATTTGCCGGGTATTACTTACTATAAATATGGAAACATTTATAATGATACAATCCTTAACTAACTAACTATATCCAAACTCTATAACCATAACTTGATTGAGATTTTACAATATTTACTATAAGATTCTGTTTCCTTCATCCCCCAGTATAAATACGTTTGTATGTACCATGGCATTTGAACTGTTAAGTTGAACTTTTATCATCGACATATCAAAATATCTTATCAATGTTCTCGTTATACATCTGATTTATTTATAAATTGACAATTTATCACACAAATGACCCGCTTCTTCAACATTGGTCATTTATCATTCATTAACTGAAATCAAGTAGATATCTATGGATACGGAACTCGGTTATTCACAAGATAAATATTTCATACTTTTTCATTCCACCAAACTCGATTCAAAGTTACGATACAAATAAGAAATTGGTATGCTAAAACTACGTTACTTATTGACATGAATATCAAATGTAAAGCATAATTCTACAATACTTCTTGACAGAGTTAACAACTTTTGATAGTTAACAAGTATTTCAAGTTAGAAGGTTATATCTGTAGTCGTACTTGTGTAGCGGTGTTGACGGGTGTTTCGCTCGTTTTCAACATCTTTCCAACCCGAAATCTGAACATTTTGTTGCATTTAGAAATTAACAACGCAATACTGCCATTCCTGAACTTATTTGTTGCATTTTTAAAAAATCTGTTTGGTTTCATCTTTATAAAATTTGATTGCTGTGCTATTTAAAAACCGGCATTTTGTATGATAGCGAAATTAACATAAATTTACTGATATGACGATTTTCAAATATAGGTTACCTGACTTAATGTAACAAATATTCAACTGTTTTCTTCTTACGTTTTTTTGTAATCATTGAAAAAAAAACCTACGTAATTTTGACATCTTTATGAGATCTTTACTTAGAAAGGGACGGCTTAAGCCGTCCCTGTTATATTCGCGTATTTGCCATATGGACGGCTTTAGCCGTATCTATAATAATAATAGTAATAATAATAAATTAATAATAATAATAATAATAAAAATAATAATAAATGTAAAGAAAATTATACCATCGACAATAATTATTATTATACTAACATATTTGGAAACATATATAATTATTATAATACTAATAACAAATAATAATCATTATATTTATTAATAATATAGTAATTTCTTAGAAAACCCTCTGGCAAATAGGTGAACAATAAAACAATAACCCTCTGGCAGCGAAAGGGTTAATTCGTAAGCTAATGCAATTCAAAATCTTTGTTAAATAGATTTAGTTGAATTTGGTTGATTCTTTATCTAAATTGAAGTCATGGAGATTTCGAGCAACAAATACGTAACAAGTTTATACAAAGGTGAAAAGCGTCAACTGAAGACACATGATACCTCAGAAATAAATAAATCTTAACCTCTTTCGAAAGGGCAAGCATGAATGTTATAATGTTTATCTATAGTTAACGATTTTAAAGAATGTTAGATACTTGTTTTTTAGGAAAGTTGCGATAAATGTGAAATTATTTGTCATAAAGGTAGCAAAATGTAACCAAAGTAATATTTTGATTCTATTTAAAATACTCATTCACTATAACTGCCAAAAAGCAGCAGATGAAAAGGATTGTTCAGGTAATTGACCAATAAGTAACTTTTTGCATACTATGAAAGTACATGAAAATAACAACGCTTTTGAGAACTAAAAATAAAAGCATTTCGGAGGAATAATGGACCTTTAGGAATGTATTAACCCCTTGAATATAATTAGCAATTTTTATCAGGCTCTTGTTATGAGAAATATTTCAATGTTTTATACAAATGATGTGCACAGAAATCAATACAACGGCATCACATATAAAAGTTTAGTGAACCGTTATACAACAATGAATTATGCAAAATTTTCTCTTGCCAGTTTGTTGAATTTCTACTTTATTGCACTATGTATAAACATATTAAACATCAATATTCAATACATACATGTTTGTTGATATTGTTTCGCCTTGTTCTGATAAGTTAATCAATATTAAGACCTCTACTAGCAAGCTGTTTTCGGTTTTCATTTTCGATCATGTGAGCAACATCTGATTGGTCAAGGGTTAAATACAATCATTTGTTTATTCTTTACTTGCTTGATTGAGAAGGTGTATGTATATATGCTAAGCTTAATGAGCGTCCATCCGCCCTTTCAGGCACTGAGAGTACGAACCCCGTTTGAGGTAACTTTTACTGTACATGCTTGTTTCGATAATGAGGCCCGTTCTGTTTAATTAATATACCAATTCTGTAAGTTCGAGTGCGCGGAAAAATTGACGCCTACTCAAAGGAAATATTTCAATCTTTTAATTTTCTACAATGCTTGTATAATTAACCGGACAGGACTAGGCAAACGGTTTGTACACGTTTTTTGAAAACCTGACAGGTTTTTTTAACACAAAATCATTGAGCATTCAAGTATTCAACATACTTTCAATTTCTATTTTTATCCAGATGATTAGGTATTTAGGAAATTTTAAAAGTACCCGAATTCGATCGTGTTTCTACATCAATTTATTAATACTCGAATAATATAGAGTCTTTGATTAATAATGTTGTGTATAACTCTATGAAATTAAACGTAAGATTCGTTATTTTCAGCCCTACATGACAATAAATTGAACCACAACAATCCTTTTACTAGAACATATAGTTTTCTGTATATTCATATTTAGGTCCAAGTTATTTGAGTGTTGATTTGGCATTACTTCGCTCTTAGAGCCATGTTTTATAAGGAGAATATTTGCCCGTATATTATTGATCATTTCTGGGTCCTGTACAGACTTTATTGAGTTATTAAGATCAAATGTATTTTTGTTTATTTATCAAAAAACTTCCAATTGATATGTTTGCTAGCGATGCAAATACAATGCAAATACAATTATTTTATTATTTGTTGTGGATTAATTTATGAAAGTTTTACAATAATGAATTTACAAATATCCAAACAAATTATATGTTAGTTATTTTACCTGGATATAAATATTTTCTCGGCAAAGTATGATGTTGCAAAAACATCCAAGACATTTACACTTTCTAACCTTTTCTATTAATATTTCATGTAATAGTATTGTGGTTTATAAAATATAAACAGTTTGGATATGGTACAACTGGTTAGGCAGTCGCCTGTATAGATGTGTATATAAGATATATGTTAAAAAAGAGCATTCATCTAAATCTTTTTTGTCTATCTTTAAATGACCTAAACGTGTTGGTTTTTAACTAAATAGAGGTGGCGACAGTTGATGATCGATTTTGATAATTTTAACAAAACACAAATTCTAACGTTGAAAATAGTAATTTGTTGTGAGCATTTCATGAAGGAAATGATACCTATTCAAGTGTAAATGGTAAAAAATTGGAGGTCAAGGTCACAATGCCTGTACAGTTTTCCATAATTGTTTTTAACTTCAAATGTTTGTTCACATGTTGTTAAAAGTTTAACCAATAGGGCGGGATAATGTGTGGAAAAAAGACCCGGCTTATTATTTCGGTCTAACCTACGCTTAGAAAATAAATATGTAAACAAATAGTAATTTAATGCTGTGAGTTGTTTACAAGTATTTTACCAATGTATCAAGTAAATGTCCACCTAAAATAAGCAAATTCAAGGATATAAAAGTAAGCACTACATTACTTCGATACTAATTACTAAAATTGTATAAACCAAATGTACTAAATGCAAATTAAGTCGGATTTGTTTATAATTGTACATCAGTGGGCATATTTAAATCAAAAACGATTGTCAAACATATTTTCAATCATAATTGTTCTGATTTTAGATGTCAAATATATACATTTGTTTTATATTGTCGACGATTACACTCTCTGTTTCTGTTTACATATGAAACCACGTGGTAGAACTCCTTTCACTCCATATTGTTTCCGAGGTTATTATGAATAATAGCCGAGGATGTTCCGATTTGTTTCACGATATTCTTTTTCCGAAAAAGAATTGATAATCCCAAAATTGGATTTTATGTGAATTTATGTTCTCTGACGATCGGATTCAATTTATAAAACATGAAATGGCCGAATTTCGAAATAAATAATACTTTGTATTAGTGTTGCGTGAATTAAACAGCCTAAAGTGTGCAGACCGAAGTGTATTGTAATAATAGAATGTAAAAAGGGAATACTAGAATATAGACTGGCTCATTGACACGTTATTTATTAGGTAAATAAAAAAAAGCTATAAAACTCAAAATGCGCGGCGACTAGATGAATAAATAAATAAATGTTGAGCTTTTCTACTTATATCTGTGGTTACATACCTTGAACATCCAGAAAAAAATAATACTAAAACATTACAAATAGTAGAACAGATAGAAAAGTTAATGCAACAATCAAAATCAATAATATGAAACAAAATTAATAAAATTTTATGGATTTGCCGGGTATTATTTACTATAAATATGGAAAAAATTATAATGATACAAACCTTAACTAACTAACTATATCCAAACTTTATAACCATAACTTGATTGAGATTTTACGATATTTACTATAAGATTCTGTTTCCTTTATCCGCCAGTATAAATACGTTTGTATGTATCATGGCACTTGAAATAAAGTTGAACTTTTATCATCGAAATATCAAAATATCTTATCGATTTTCTCTATTAATAACTTGTCAATTTATCACACAAACGATCTGCTTCTTCAACATAGGTCATTTAGATATCTATATAACCTGGGATTCAGGCGTTGATATTTTTTTGCTTATTCATAACATACGCGCTGTTTCATATTCAATCGTCAGAGTTAACACAACATCTCTGGTTTTCCTATTATCAAAGTCGATTTGCCGAACAGAAGCACATAAAAAATCGACAGACTGGAACCCAGGCTAATATCTATAGATAGGTAACCTAGGTTATTCACACGATAAGTATTACATACTTTCATTCCACTAAACTCGATACAAATAAGAAATTGGTATGCTAAAACTACGTTACTTATTGACATGAATATCAAATGTAAAGCATAATTCTACAATACATCTTGACAGAGTTAACAACTTTTGATAGTTAACAAGTATTTCAAGTTAGAAGGTTATATCTGTAGTCGTACTTGTGTAGCGGTGTTGACGGGTGTTTCGCTCGTTTTCAACATCTTTCCAACCCGAAATCTGAACATTTTGTTGCATTTAGAAATTAATAACGCAATACTGCCATTCCTGAACTTATTTGTTGCATTTTTAAAATCTGTTTGGTTTCATCTTTATAAAATTTGATTGCTGTGCTATTTTAAAGCCGGCATTTTGTATGATAGCGAAATTAACATAAATTTACTGATATAACGATATTCAAATATAGGTTACCTGACTTATTATAATACTGCACGATTGTAACGTCGCTTTTCATTGGATAATCGTGACGCTTATATAGTTTTATATACCCGGCTGTTGTCGATTCATAAATAAATTTTACTTTTTTCCCTAAAAAAAATGATGCGTGCTGTATAATGAATTCGTTATAAAGATTGCTGAAAGCTTATATGACCGTATATAAACGGCTGTTTGTAATATAACCCTCGCCTAGCGGCTCGGGTTATATTTACAAATAGCCGTTTATATAGGGCCATATAACCTGTCAACAATCTTTATAACTAATAATGTAACAAATATTCAACTGTTTTCTGTTTACGTTTTTTTTGTAATCATAGAAAACAACCTACGTAATTTTGACATCTTTATGAGATCTTTACTTAGAAAGTTTATGTTAATTCGAAAGCTAATGTAATTGAAATGTTAAATAGATTTTAGTTGAATTTAGTTGATTCTTTATCTAAATTGAAGTCATGGAAATTTCGAGCAACAAATACGTAAACAAGTTTATACAAAATTGAAAAGCGTCAACTGAAGACACATTGCTACCTCAGAAAAAAAAATCTTTACCTCTTTCGAAAGGGCAAGCATGAATGTTATAATGTTTATCTATAATTAACGATTTTAAAGAATGTTAGATACTTTTTACCTGAGGAAAATTGCGATAATTTGTTATAAAGGTAGCAAAATTTAAGTAGTATTTTGACTTCCATACAAAATACTAATTCACTATCCTTGCCTAAAAGCAACAAATGAAACAGATGGCCAATAAGTAACTTTTTGCATACTATGAAAGTATATAAAAATTACAACGCTATTGAGAACTAAAAATAAAGCATTTTTGAGGAATAATGAACCTTTAAGAATGTATTAAAACTTGCATATAATTAGCAATTTTTATCTGATTCTTGTTATGAGAAATAGTTCAATGTTTTATACAAATAATTTGCAGAGAAATCAATACAACGGCATCACATATAGAAGTTTAGTGAACCGTTATACAACAATGTATTATGCAAAATATGTTCTTTTCAGTTCGTTGAATTTTTAATTTATAGCACTAGGTATAAACATATTAAACATCAATACACACATGTTTGTTGATATTGTTTGGCCTTAATCTGATAAGTTAATCAATATAAAGACCTCTACTAGCAAGCTGTTTTCGGTTTTCATTTTCGATCATGTGAGCAATATCTGATTGGTCAAGGGTTAAATACAATCGTTTATACTTACTTGATTGAGAAGGTGTATGCATATATTCTAAGCCTAATGAGCGTCCATCCGCCCTTTCAGGCACTCGTATGAACCCCGTTTGAGGTGCCGATTACTAAGGAAATTTTACTCCGCATGCTTGTTTCGATAATGAGGCCCGTTCTGTTTAATTAATATACCAATTCTGTAAGTTCGAGTGCGCGGAAAAATTGACGCCTACTCAAAGGAAATATTTCAATCTTTTAATTTTCTACAATGCGAGACTAGGTAAACGGTTTGTACATGTTTTTTTTTGTTTTTTTTTGAAAACCTGGTAGTTTTTTTTACCTTAAAAACATTCAGCATTCAAGTATTCAACATACTTACAATTTCTTATTTTATCCAGATGATTAGGTATCTAGGAAATTTAAAAAGTACCCGAATTCGATCGTGATTCTAGATCAATTTATTAATACAGAGAATAATATAGAGTCTTTGATTAATAATGTCGTGTATAACGCTATGAAATTAAACGTAATATTCGTTATTTTCAGCCCTACATGACGATAAATTGAACCACAACAATCCTTTTACTAGAACATATAGTTTTCTGTATATTCATATTTAGGTCCAAGTTATTTGAGTGTTGATTTGGTATTACTTCGCTCTTAGAGCCAATGGAACGTCGAGAATGTTTTATAAGGAGAATATTTGCCCGTATATTATTGTCCTGTACACACTTTATTGAGTTATTAAGATCAAATATGTGTTTGTTCATTTATCACAAAACCTTCCAATTGATATGTTTGCTTGCGATGCAAATACAATTATTTTATTATTTGTTGTTGATTAATTTATGAAAGTTTTATTATAATAAATTTACAAAAATATAAACAAATTATATGTTAGTTATTTTATCTGGCCCAAAAACATCCGATACATTTAACTTTTCACTTTCTAACTTTTCAATTAATATTTCATGTAATAGTCTTGTGGTTCATAAAATATGAACAGTTTTGATATGGTACAACTGGTTAGGCAGTCATCTATATAGATGTATAATATAAGATCTAATATATAACATAATTATTATGTTAAAAAAGAGCATTTATCTTAATCATTTTTGTCTATCTTTAAATGGCCTTAACGTGTTGGATTTTAACTAAAGAAAGTTGGCGACAGTTGATGATCGCCTTTGATAATTTTAAGAAAACACACATTTTAACGTTGAAAATAGTAATTTGTTGTGAGTATTTCATAAAGGAAATGAAACCTATCCAAGTGTAAATGGTTAAAAATTTGAGGTCAAGGTCACAATAACTGTACAGTTTTCCATAATTGTTTTTAATTTCATATGTTCTTTCACATGTACCTACAAAGTATATCCAATAACTAACGTGACTCATGGAATTATTTTTATAAATATCCTTCGGAAAATTACTTAATTACCTAAAAAGAGTGGAACAGTTTTTTATATTTGGCATTTTCTTTTACATCTTTCATTATCAATTATTTGTTAATGACAGGCATTTATAATAGTCAATCTTTTAATATAAAAGCAATTCAGCTTTTTTGAAAGCGAAAGTAATAAGCATTATGTCACTTCATACCAGTATGAAGGTAAAGAAAAATATAGAAGGTTAAACAAATGTGTGTGTACCAGTATATAATTGTATCATAGTTTGGGGACCTTTCTGTTGAAAAAGTGTCAGAGTTAAATCGTATACATATACATGCACAGTGCGGTAACTGGAGTGCAGGTATCAGTTACCCGCACTCCAGATAATGCCCGTTGATTGGTTCATTTTTGCTGGGGTTTACTTATTGTGTCGGCAGAGAAAGGGAAAGGGAGCAGAAATATCATATTCAAATGCTCGTTTATTGGATATTTTTTTCTGGGGTTTCATATTATGATAACATGGAACGTGCTGTTATGTTTGACTATGATACAAAAGAGAAAGAACACCAAAACACTCGGCAATCTGATTTATAAATCAGATAGCCTCGTGTTTCGGTGCTCTTTTTATTACATAACACATGGGTTTTTGGGTAACAGTAAATATATCATCCCGAGAAAAATACTGTTACCCGAGGCGTAGCAAAATCTCGAGACATATGATAACTTGCGGGAACACAATTCCGCCGATACTGATTTTAACTGCGTGACGTCACAGTCTCTTCTCCTTCCATGTGTAAACCGTTGACCTCCAGAAGATAGAAAAATGCCATCTTGCTTATACCTCAAAATCCCCCTCCCCCCTCAAAAACATTAAATACTAGTAGTTGAAAGAAATCGAAATGACACTTCAAAATGTTCATATTTTAACATACAAACAGTTCGCTTTTAAACCAACGGGAAATACCTTCTTTTATTTAATTTTACACATGAAATATGGTGCTATATCAGTCAAATATATTTCATATTTTAAAAAAATAAATATGAAATATATAAATATGAAAGTGGGCGGAGTCAAAACTCATATTTATTCGAAGGGATTTCTTTCGCCATTTTCTTTGAAAAATCTGCAAGGGGGTTCGTAACCATTTTTTTATAATGAAATTAAATAAAAAGGTTATTTTTTTCGTTTTTTTTTTTGTGAATTATTGTTTATATTTTCACGAAACATGATAAAATGCCACATATTTTCACTCGCCGTCCCGGCTCGTGAAAATATTAGGCATTTCATCATGTTTCGTGAAAATATATTCCTTATTTCACTCAAACTTCATTTATTAATTACAACTTCATTCATAACTGTAAAATTACGTCATCCTTAGCGTGCCATTGTACAGCACGCGACTCATCTGTCATCCCCATGCCAGATGAAAAGTTTCCTTCTAAATATTCTGTGGTTGTCAACAATGAGCCAAAGATTGAATACGAGAAAGAAATTTGTCACAGGAAGTGGACAATACGTACAAAAACAATATGCGAGGGTATCGAATATGTGAATCTTGGAATAACTTTAAACAAGTACTCACTGACCAACGATCATATTTACAATGCAAGCTGTAAATTGCGAGGAATACTTTTGAGTATAGCAAATAGTGGTGTATACTCTGGCAATGATCTCAATCCTTCAACCTATTTAATGATATATAACTCAGTCGTACTACCTAAGGCTTTGTATGGATGTGAATTGTGGAACTATATGACACACTCAAACACACTAACTTTAGAGAGAGCCCACCGTTTTTGCATCAAATTTGTGCAAAGTTACCATTGTTTGAAAATAATGATATTGCTTTGTTTGCATTAGGAGTAAACTGTATAATTACAACAATAGACTATAACAAGTTGCGATTTCTTGGACAACTCTGTAGACTTCCAAATCATTATTTAGCAAAACAAATTTTTGTCCATCGGTTAGTTCGGTATGTAAATTGTATAGTAAGGCAGTGTGTAGGG